AGCATGTCAACATATTCTGTTACACCAAATACACAAAATAATGATCTTTAAAAAAGCATCATATGACCCTTTTAATAACCATGATATGCAAGGGCCATTATTTTAAGAATTAATACATAACAAATTTGCCTTAAGATAAAATTAGTTCCTAGTTCTGTCTGCACCCAGGGAACCATGGATCGCCTCTAACATTTGGCCAAGGCTGCTTGTTGACCTCAGTGAAGGGCTTGGAATTAGATTAGTGTGTGTCCTGTAAGGTCATGGTGGGTGGGTAGGTTTTTTGACTCGTCAATAAATAAATAAACATTAGCAAATCACTAAAAAAATTGATTTCAATCAGCGAAGCAGTTCAAATCCTCATGTTTTTTTAATAAATAAACAAATCAAAGAAATAAATCTAATACAAAGAAACCTTTAAAAAAAAAAAGCAAATACAAAATGCTCATTAAAAAATCTAAAAATGTATACATACATGAGCAAAAATTAATAAACAAATAAGCACGCAAATAAGAAGTAAATAAGACATAAATGCACTTCAAAGCAAAAACAAATCTCCAAATGTAATTATTTTCAATGATCTTGATTTTAAATGACAACGTAAAAAAATGAATCCTCAGTGAATTGGCCTTAAGGTTGGCATGTTTGAGATGTTTATATGTAATTAAGTCTAAATTAAATCTGCTTATCATATAAAGTGATAGTGTCTTCTTGAGACTAGGATTAAACTGCTCGATTCATATGGATTACTTTTACAATGTCTTTATGAACTTTTTGGTGTCAAATTTTGGTGGAATGGCCTTTTAATGGAGGGACACAAATCTCTCCGGTTTCATTTAAAATATTTTTATTTGTGTTTTTCTAAGTTTTATTGTCTAATAGTGAATCAAAATTGCGAATATTTAGCAAATTACAAATCATATACACCTGGAACTCCGTTTAGTGAACACTTTTTTCTTCTATCAGACCTGGCTAGGCGATTCAGCGGTGAGGCGTTCAGAGTCAGACCAGCCAGGATCGATTGGTCAGGTCTGGGTGAAGGGAAATGGAAGTCTACAGACGGGGATAAGAGATTGAAATCTGAATGTGGAACTTTGTTTTTGTCTGTGAGGAAATACTTTAAGGGAAATGTCTCTTCGGACCTTTTGTGTGCGTTACCTTTCACGCGCAAACCATTAATGGGACAGAGAACTCGTAGATTCCTATCAGATTTGATGATTGATTTGAACAGATGAGCAGCCTCAGTCAGTGTAGTGAACAGACCGACAACAGCAACAGCCTCCATTCCAGAGCTGGTGAGTGACAGTTATGTCCATATAATGCAGATCAACGATATAAATCACGCCGAAGTAATTATGTGTAGGAATTTTCGCAGGCGTCTTTATTTTTAAGTATAACCTCTTACGATTCAAATTCAATTCAGTCACTGCAGCCTGTATTGTTGAATCCACCTTGTGAACGTCCTCGTATTAATACAGTTTTTGCATCAATCATGCTTCATAACATATCTTGTCGTTTATTTTGTTATGCCATTAAAGCATTTTAGTTGATCTGTGTCTAAGCTACTGAACGGAACCTATTATTTCAGTCTGTAGGCGAGACGGGATGTACATGTTATTGTGATAAATCGATCTGTTTGATTAAAATATATGATGTTTCTTACAGCTGTTAATATGAAACAGTCTTTATCAATGCGATAGTCGCGTGTTTGCAGTCTGCAGTGTAAACGCCTGCTATTCAAGGCAATGCAATAACGTATCATTGATTCTTCAGCAGTTGCTAGTATCGTTGATAAATTCGATTATTCAAGCAAATGCAGAGCTACATGGTCAGGACTTTTCGTTTTGTATGACTTTATAAAGGCAGACGGATCATGTATTGCTGTCTCATGCCCTGCCTGTGTCTGTATTTGTCTTCCTTTGTTTGGGTTGTTGTTGTTTCAGCCTCTCCTCAGCTCCTGACTGCTGCACTACAGCATGTAGACAGCAGTGCTTTCTCCTGGAGCTTTTGCAAATGAAAATGGAGGACGTGTCTCTGTCCAGTATGGACAACAGTAAGATGGAGGTGAGTGGGTACGCCTTTGTTTTTCATATGTTATATTCTGCATAATTAGATGTGTGTTGAATAAACAAACACATGTGGGTGTTTCACCTCTGCGTCACGAAGCCTGTCTCATGGTATACATTGCACACTCATTTCATTGGTTTTCCCAGCTGATGTGTCCACTGAGCGCAATGCGAATGTGATGTGTACTCTTCTGAAGGTTACAGTGTGATTCAAGTGCATTAATACATGCATGTGTTGCGCTTTCTCCCACAGGGCTTTGCTCAAGAGATCCTGTCTGACCTGGTGGAGGACGCCTGTTTGGGGCTTTGTTTTGAGGTTCACAGGGCTGTCAAACAGGGATACTTTTTCCTGGATGATACAGACCAGGAGAGTATGAAGGACTTTGGTGAGAGTCTCGCATGTTTCTCAAATAAGGCATTGTACTGGCATTCTGGGACCTAATGCCCTTCACACTAAGAACGATAACTATAACAATAGCTATTAGCATTCACATAAAGGCATGATAACATTCTGTTTATTATAAGCATGTGCTGCAATTATGTTGTATGCCACTTTAAATGCTTGAGCTCTTGAATTCATTCCAACAATATGGACTTTGCTATTCTTTAAGATTTATAATTATTTTTAAAACTATATCAGGGCTCGCAAAATGTCAAAATCCCTTCGGGCAGGTACTCTTCAGATTTTGGTAGCCCGAAAATGAATTTAACTAGCCCAAATAAAAAAAGACCTTTAAAAAAAAAAAAAAAAAAAAAAAACCTTCAAACAAGGTTTTCAAACAATTCATTTCAAAGTTAAACTACTATTAAATTGACAACTTAAAAACATAACAACATTTCAGCCTTGAGACCATTTTTATGAAAAGGGATAAATCAAGCATATAAATTATGTTAATTTAAAACGCATAAATATTACTGTCTTAATTGTTTAGATTTTTAGAAGGCACATTAACTTCTTTCTCATTTACAACTCCATGTGTTTGCTGCATAAAAACACCAGTTGATATTTGCATTGATCTGACCATAAAACAGCAAGAAAGGCTTATTGGAAATGCAAATTCATTCTCTGCCACGAGGTGGCGCTTTAGGAGCGCTGAAACTGCCTCGAGGTGGCGCTTTAGGAGCGCTGAAATAATGCGGTTTCCCCAGTAACGGCTGTAGACAAACTGTAGACAAAGCAGCTCCGCGCTCATAAACGCTGCTTTATCAGGAATTATAGGTAAAATAAAATTAAAATGCCACCTACACTTTTCTGAGGACAGTCGGTTCCCTTCAGATACATTTAAATAAAGACATCCGAACAGCGTTTTGACTTGAAACGTGCAGCGCTTATATTTATTCAATGACATCATTGCCTTTTTAAGTTTAATCCAGCCGTATCGCGACCATAGACTGTATAAAAACATGGACGTAGTGTCCGTGACGTAAAGTAGGCGGAGCCAGCCGTCGCCATCTTGGCAGCGCATCACTCCCGGATAATCGAAAATGGGCAAAGAGGCGGGAGTTGGCTACTGAAACCACGCCCACCTAGCTCGACGGTGGTGACAGCAGCGGCAATCCACCTGTCACTCAAGTGGCCACGCCCTTAATTATGCAGAACTTTAAGGCTTAATATAATTTAAACGGATGAGTTATAAAAAAATTCACCCCCCTCACAGTTGTCATGAAGGGCAAAATTAGCTATATAGACCAAAACCACTTTTTGAACCAGGCTGTAAACGTTTTTTTCTGCTGTAAAATTGGGCATTTTAACATGGGGAGTCTATGGGATTGACTCCCTTTTGCAGCCAGCCTCTAGCGGCCAGTTGACGAATTACAGTTTAAGTCACTTCCGTGTTGGCTTCACGAGAGAGAGCGGGAGGTTGCGGCTCGATCGCGACTCTTGTCTTTCCGTCCCCAACTGTAAGACCTCTTGAAATTCTAATTAAGACATTTCTTATACCATTTAACGTATTTAAAACTTTTTATGGCCTTAAGTTTGATACAACTCACTTTAGGAGTTTTTAAGGACCCGCGGGAGATCTGCATTTAGGATAGCCTGTCAGGCAGAGTGGTGATACGTTTTGGTAGCCCGACTGGAAAACACAATAGCCCCTGGATGTCGGGCTAGCGATTTTGTGAGCCCTGTATATATATCTTTATCATCCTTTGTGTGAACTAGTATTTAGTCCAGTTTTGTAATTAAAATTTGATTCTTTTCCTGTCCATTTTCACTGATATGACTAAAGTCATGTGTGGTCATTTCACCAAAAGAGTGTAAGATGTTCATTTTTATAATGATTTTACAGCAGGATCTTTTTATATTAAGGTGCGATCACAGCAACATTTTGGTGAAATTTGGTGAAAAGTACCGTGATTAAGAATAAAAACAAAATACACAATCCAGCGGGGGCAGGGAGACTGGAAGAAATGAAAAGAAATTTCCCCAAATGGGAAAGCACCCTCAAGCTCTAAAAATCACAAAAAAGGCCATAAAAGCAATCTTCATGACATTTGCACTATAATCCAAGATGTCTGAAGTCCTTTTCAAGGAAAGGCCATATTTGTAATGGCAGCAATTTCGGGTATTCAAGACCAACTCCTGTGTACTTGAGTAGGGAAATACTGAAATCTCAAAACAGCTTGCCAAACTCACATTTAAATAGCACATTTCAAATCAGCAACAAAATTTGACACGAACTAACCCATAAACATTGTTTCTTATGATCAAATAGTGTTTAAAAGTAAATATTTCATATTGGTCCAGTCAATGCGTATGTGCAGTCCCAAGTGCATGTCTCAATTGACTCAAAACTTAAAACTAATTTAACCCAAAACTCTTGTTTCTACTGTCTTTGGTAGAAATCGTGGACCAACCTGGAGTAGATATTTTTGGGCAAGTGTACAACCAGTGGAAAAACAAAGAGTGCGTGTGTCCTAACTGCAGCCGGAGCATCGCTGCCTCACGGTTTGCTCCTCACCTGGAGAAATGCCTCGGCATGGGCCGCAACAGCAGTCGCATTGCCAACCGAAGGTATTATTATAATTGAACGTTCCCAGAAGAAAACTTTAATATAGATGTCACCTGAACTCCAGGCAAACGTTCATGAAGGGTTGGTGCTTGCCTGAATGTCTGGAATCAGTTTTTGATAATACTGGTCATGTGACTGCTTTTTTGGAACGTGTGATGGTAATGCGTGTGTTTATATATAAATGCATATTTAGACTTGTGAGTGGCAACAACACAAACAAATCAGAGAGCGATCAAGAGGACAATGATGATGTCAATGACAATGACTGGTCTTATGGGGCAGAAAAGAAAGGTGAGTCTGTTATATATCACCTTTCTTTGCAATAGTGTAGATTTAATCACTAAACCACTCAAGGGATTTCACTGCATAAATAGTAACTGCAATTATTTATTAATGTATCTGTGTTTTGTATAATTTTAATATTTCATATTTTGCTTTCCAGCCAAGAAGAGAAAGTCAGATAAGGTATTTTTACATTCTTTGAAACAACCTGTGCACTTGGTAAGTTTTTTTTTTTACTATTACAGATGTTCTGTTTGCTCTTAGATGGCCTCTCAGATTTGTAGCCACAGGATCTGTTGCAAACTAGTTATAGAATTAGTTTATTAAAGGATGTAGAATTCTTATCCACAATTCCTGTCAACAAAAATGTTTTGTTCATACATTAGCTGTCTAATAAGTGCTGGACTGTAGCATAGTGTACCTGCCTTTTCCATAACCATGTCTTTTTGTTTCATTTTCATATCCTGACTGCAGGCTAATGTTTGTTGCCTCTTTTCTTTCTGCACAGAATCCAAATTCACCAAGAAGATCCAAATCCATGAAACAAAAAAATGGTAGGTCTGTGTTTTTCTTTCTTGTGTGAAATCTGTAATGTATTCAAGTTTAAGGGCCCCGATATACTCATGGCGAAGTTCTTTTTTTATTCTTCGCTTAGGGGTAAAAAGAAGTTTGAAATACCTGAGCAGCAGCAGTATACTTTTAGCAAACGTCCCAGTGCTGCCCACGCTGCTTGAAAGTGGCATTTAGATGAATATGTAAATATGTACTGCATGCTTCCTCTCAATAATAAAAATAAACACACAACAGAAATGACAGCAATGGGGGGAAAAAAAGCAGCATTCGAGCATCTGATCATATCGACTTGGACATGTTTACATCATGTCTGCACTTCAGCACTCCACTCAAATCACGTCATATTTATTATATTACATATTTATAGCATTTTATACAACAGATTGAAGGAATAATTCAACCAAAAATGAAACTTTTCTGAAAATTTACCCACCCAGGCCATCCAAGATATACAGTGGGGAAAATATTTATTTGATCCCCTGCTGATTTTGTAAGTTTGCCTGCTTACAAAGAAATGAAGGGTCTGTAATTTTTATGGTAGGTTTGTTTGAATGGATAGAGACAGAATATCAACCAAAAAATCCAGAAAAAACATATTATATAAAGGTTAGAGACTTATTTCACTCACTGAAATGCAAATCAATATTTCATCCGCTACCAATCAACAAGAATTCTGGCTCCCACAGATTGGTTTTGTGCCCATGTGGAACATAGATTAGTCCTGCCACTTTAAGAAGTTACTCCTAATGTCAGCTCGTTAGGTGTATAAGACACCTGTCCACACAATCTGTATCTTCCATTCCAACCTCTCCCACCACCATGGGCAAGACCAAAGAGTAGTCAAAGGATGTCAGAGACAAGATTGTAGATCTGCACAAGGCTT